TCTCTTTTGCCCCCCGCGACCTCAGGGCCCCAGGTCCCGTGACCTTCACCGAGCGGCAGTTTGACCGCGCTGCGCAGGTCCTCCGCCGCCTCCTTGAGGCGGCCCAGCTGCTGCAGCGCGGCGCTGCGCCGGAAGAAGGCCTCAGGGGCTCCGAGGCCCCCATGGCGAAAGGTCGCAACGAGAAACCTTTGGTAGAGTTCTTTGGTGAATGGGGAATCAACCCCTAGAATGGATCCCAGCCATTCTTCAAAAGATGATCTCAGATCAAAAAAAAAGAGAAATCACTCAGAGCAAGAGGCACGGTTTTGTAGATGTCCTTCAGTTAGAGCTCTAAACCCAGGCTTCGGGTGCAGTGGCTTGACTGTGGCTCCCGCCTTGACCTCTGGCCCCTTCTTCAGGACCTGCTCACAAAGCCTCACGGCCTCCGTCCAGTTCTCCCTGGCACGGCGAGAAACCCCCCGGAAGGGTTTAGACGGGAGAAGCTCTGCCAATCAAAACGACACGGATTGGTCAACACCTGGGCAACATGAAGCCACGCGGAGCCCACCCAAAAAAAACAAGATTGGCATCTGACGGCAGGTTGTCCTGTAGCTGCAAACCGCTCGCAACACCTCCGCATCAAGACTAGCATCAAAGTGCTGATGCCGCCCAGCTTGTTCCGCACCTAACGAGACCGTCAGCGCCAGATTTGGCCCCACCAAAGTCTCAAAGTCTTCGCTCACGCCCCAAAAAGCGGCGCCAACTACACCACGCAGCCGGCCGCCTCCTCAGGTTCGCCAGCGCCCCGTTCAGCCGGAGCTGCGTCAGCAGCTCGGCGGCCTCTTGGCCTGGCGCCCGAACGTGGTGTGGTGGTTGGGGTGGCGTTTGGGTGGGGCTGCTGGCACACGTTCGGGTGAAGGATGCAAGGGAAAGCCTTCTTTTCCCAAAAAACAGATGCTTTTCAGGTGGCACCCCTTGGGTCGATTTCAGGAAGGCAGCTATTTGCAATCAGTGTACAGGTCCGTATTCGAGCCGCACGAAATCAAACGGCCAGAAAGTTTCAAGCTCACCACTTGAGCAACTGGCGGGATGTACCCAACTGCTTTCAAGCCAGCCTTGCGGAAGGCAATCGAATAAGAATCATGCAGCCGACGTGGATGAAAGTGCACTGGACAAGTGCTCTTGCCATCCGGTGAGGGAAAACAAAATACGACTTCCAGGGGGACATCTGCGAGCAGTGCGGGGAGCTGGCAGCGATGCAACCTTGTAATTCAAGCGTGCAGTCAAACAACAACCCCGCGCAGTCCAGCAAGCAATGTGTTCAGCCCCGTGCCTCACTCGGCCCAGTAGGGATACAAGCCTTACATCTGAATGAAACAAGAGGAGCCCGGGAACCCAAAAGCAAACCAGCCTCACTCCCCATGGCATGTGGATCCCGTTGTTTTCCGGCTCAAGGGTCCGAAGGCAAACCAAGATTTAAATTGTTAACAGTTGGGAAATCAACCCCAAAACAGATGAAGAAGGGGAGCAACCGCGACTCAAGCCGGATTGGCAGCCAGCAGCCTGTGCTCTGACCAAGCACAGAGAAAAAGGCAAAGGCACGGGTGAAACATGACAGGCCCCGCACTACATGGAAGGCACGAAGTCATCTGATTCATCATGAAGAACCAATCGCAGAAATCCGAAAATGGATCCGCACAAACTACCACTCCCAAATTGGAAGCAAGGCAGAAGCTCGCTCTACACCCATCTGAGCCCGTGTTTGTGGCCCAGACGTGTTTTTGGCCTAGACTGAAACTCCAACATCTTGGAGGCAAGCAAAGAAGAATCAGTGACCGTTTCCTGTGAGCCATTTTCGCAGCGCGCCATCCATTTGGTCTGCCTGCTACACCAAAGAGCTGAGGCATCCCGAATGCTTCCAGAGTGGATCGATCAGAGAGCCGAGTGTGCTCAGCATATTCATGTCAACGTGCTTCCAGGCTGCTTCCAAATAAGTAGGGCGAACCCCAAGAAACTACAGCTTCTGAAGAGAGGGTTCGTCCTAGAAACACATTGGCACCGTTTGTTCGGGTCAGGTGTGCGGCAAAAGGACAATTATGGCGTACCTGGAACGCCGGGCTGTTCACATGGGGCCGCGCACGTGGCGGTTGCCGCATGTCATGAGCTCGCTCGCCGGCATGTCACGGGCGTCCACCGCGCCAGTCTCATGTCACGAGCGTCCACCGCGCCAGTCTCGCTCGCGGGCGGTTTCCGCATGTCACGAGCGTCCACCGCGCCAGTCTCGCTCGCGGGCGGTTTCCGCCTGTCACAAGCGTCCACCGCGCCAGTCTCGCTTGCGGGCGGTTTCCGCATGTCACGAGCGTCCACCGCATGTCACGAGCGTCCACCGCGCCAGTCTCGCTCGCGGGCTGTTTCCGCATGTCACGAGCGTCCACCGCGCCAGTCTCGCTCGCGGGCGGTTTCCACATGTCACGAGCGTCCACCGCGCCAGTTTTGCTCGCGGGCGGTTTCCGCATGTCACGAGCGTCCACCGCGCCACTCTCGCTCGCGGGCGGTTTCCGCATGTCACGAGCGTCCACCGTCGCGGGCGGTTTCCGCATGTCACGAGCGTCCACCGCGCCAGTCTCGCTCGCGGGCGGTTTCCGCATGTCACAAGCGTCCACCGCGCCAGTCTCGCGCGGGCGGTTTCCGCATGTCACGAGCGTCCACCGCGCCGGTCTCGTTCGCGGGCGGTTTCCACATGCACAAGTGTCCATCACGTCTCGCTTGCGGGGCGCAGTTTCCAGCCAGCCTCGCGCACCCAGTCCAGCCAGCCAGCCTCGCGCACCCAGTCTGCACCACACCGCCGTCCCCCCAGCCAGCCCCACACCGCCGTCCCCCCAGCCAGCCTCGTACGCCCGGTCTACCCCCAGCCGGCATCGCACGCCCGGTCTGCAGCACAACGAAATGGAAATCCCTTCTTATCTCCGTCGTCACAGCTTGTATCGCTCCCAGGCACCTTAAGAGAAAGCCTAAAGCAGAACCCAAGCATCAGAGATGCTTTTGGGAAAAACAAACAAAAAAACAATGGCAACATCGCAGTGCTCTGGTCCTGTTCCGGAAACTTCCTCTCATGTCCTGAACTCTTGCTGGCTCCTGAAACGATCCCTCTTTCAAGCAAACATTTTGAGACCAGCTTAGCTCCCTTCCAACCACCAAATATCCTCCAACGAAAAAAGAAAAACAAGGAAAGAAGAAACCAAGAAGAAAAAGAACGAAACAAAGAGAGAGAGAGAGAGAGAGAGAGAGAGGGGAGAAAAAAAAAAAAAAAAAAACGAGACGTCCCCTCCGCCTGGCAGCTTCTCGAGCGCCTCCACGCCCGCGGCGTAGCGCCGCGCCGCGCGGCCCGCCGAGGCAATCCCGGCAGTCGAGAGGTGGCGGTTGCCCTCGAGACCGGCGACAGGTCTCCCACAACTCCGCGTTTCGGCCCCAAGTGACTTCAACTTCCAGGGCTTCCACAATTCTCCTTTCGGAATGAACCACCCTCTCTGCATGACCCTTGAAAAAGGGGTCCGTGACCCCATTTGGGTGACCCCATGTTTTGAGGGTCATGGAGACTCCAGGTAGACTTAAACCCAAAAGTAGTTCATTCCCCCAACAGGAGAAACCCGGGCTTAAGTCTATCTTGGGGTGTTCAAAAAGTGGAGCCCTGATGTCTCCCGTTTCGTTGAGAAAACCTTGGGGAAACCTGGCGAAAATTATCTTCTTCGCTGGATGGTCAGGTTGGCGGCAAGCCACTTTTGCTGGCTGGTTCCGACAACACCTTGCGAAGGTTGGCCTGGCGAAACGTAGAGATGCTCGATTGCTCACCTTGCCCCTGCAGATGAGCAGAAGAAGAACAAATGTTCCGTGTGAATAACCTCGTTGGGGTGCAGGGTGACAGATATCCTTTTTAATGGAAGCCCAATCTAGAGTATGGAAACAAGGTCCGCCAGGTCTTCCAAGCAGCTAGGCATTCGTTGCGCTGCCATTTTACAATCTGCAAAAGCAGCTTGGTCAATCGCCAACATCCTGACCCATACCAGTGCCTTCAATTCACTTTCGAAGCATATAGAACAAGCAAGCTGTGCCCTTTCTCTAACATGGAGTGACATCCAATGCAGTGCGTCCTTGGGCGAAACCGCGCCCAAAAAAAAAACTCCAAGCGCCGACTGGACTGGATCAAACGTGCGCCTGCGCTTTCTTCTTGCGTGCAAACTCCAGGCAGCTCTCGTCCGGCAGTTCGGATGGCGAAGGCTCGTTGTGGACCTGAAACATGTGTGACGGGTTGTTTTGTGGAAATCACCCCACGAACACGCGGCAGGGCGTGCGAATAGCTCGGGGTTTGCTTGGGGCTCAGGATGAGCTGCATATGGTAGGCCGCAAGTGGGCTTGGTTTCACAGCAATTTCAGTGGCATCGATTCAAGCGCCACGTTACAAAGAACGGTGGCCTTCCCAATGCATGGTTCCAGTTAAGATGGCTTAAGGGTGTACTTCTCGTGCTTTGCTTTGCAGCAAGGCCAGCCTTCTGCAGATTTGTCGGGTTGAAGTTCAAAATGTGTGTCCTACAACCGTACTACAACCGGCTCAGAAGGGGTAAGTACAAGAATTATGAGAACTCTGAGGGATAGAGGGGTCCTGTTGGCCCGTGTTCTTTGCTTGTTAAGCGTGGGTGTGTCACCGTTCTGACAGGCTGCTTGCACGTGAGTAGGATTGGCTTTGGGCCACACGGTTTCTATTGTGCTCAGAGTGGTCTTGAGGCTGTAAGTTGCCCATGAGCTGCTCAGAATTTGTCAAGCGTTGTCTGGAAAGAGTTACGGTATTTAGTGGAAGGATGCACTAGGCGGACGGGGTGGAATGGGCAAACCAACTGCTTCTTGACATCAACATGCACAGCCCAAAGAAAGAGGGCACATTGACTGGGTAGAAGCAAGTAGTCATGGCGAGTCTGCCCATCTCATCCGCCAATGCCTCACTTGCCAAGTGTTCCCCTCCCAGACGCCTCGTGCACGGCTAGCTCAATCCACACAGCAGCACCCCTGGGCACATTGAGAGTATTGGATTGATTGCATGCACTTTACCACACAAAGCGGGGAAGGTGAAGTTGTTCCCCGTGATGGCCATCGGAATACATTGGAATAGTTGGTGTCTGTGTTTTGCTTGCGAGCTTTGTGTTGCTTGTGATTGAAAGGTGTGACATGAGGGTCTTTTGTTTTTGGCTGACCCCCCGAACATGTGTTGGCAGACTGTAGCCTGTTCCAAATTTCGACAGCCAACGGCAATACCACAATGCGATGCCATGAGGACAGTGCGCTTGATGTGATAGGGCTCATTTGGGACATCAGCTCTTGAGTAGCCAGAAAGGCTATCTTGAAAATGGGAAGCCAACACAAGTGTGCAAAGAACCTGTTCAATGCCAGCAAGGACAATCAGGGTTTCCCCTAAGACTCTGGAAACTGGCAGAAATCAAGCCCATGTCATACCCCCGACTTTTGGAAGGCTCGAAAACACACTCAAGCTCTGCGACGGCAGCTTGGCCGGACAACGACATGATCAGTGAGCAAAAGGCCATCAAAGAAAACAGCTTGGCCACCAGAAGAGTTCCCCAAGAAGGAGTCCTACCATCTGCTCGCGTTCAACGGGCCTAAGCTGACCATTCGACCCCCCCCCCCCCCGCCTCAGCATTGGGCCGCCACTGGCCATCAACGAGCCCAGGCCCCAGCGCTCGGAGACACGGATGACGGCCCGGGCGCCCGCCTACGAGTCGCTTGAGCGTTTTGGGCTTCGGAGACCTTGTCATTTCCTTGCCCGAAGCGACAATCTCTGGGAGAGAAGCTCTCTTGAAAGGAACGCCCCAATCTTGAAAAATCCCTCAGAAGTCAAGCAGCGAGTGGGCACATGGCTTCAGGGGAGGAAAATCACCTCAAATGAACAAGAACGAAGCGCACTGCCTTAAGAGGAACCAAGCCCAGCAATGGCATCAGCAGGTACGTGGGTTGGCGTCCCTACCGGTCTCCTTGCCACGCGTGCCAGCTTCGTTGATGGAGGAGCAACGCGGGCGCCTCCACCCCCTGCTTATCCAGAAAAGGTTGGTCACCTGGTATATCCGGAGCTCGGCTCACACACTCCCGCAGCAGCAAGGACACTACAGAAAAGAAACAAAACAAAACGAACAACAAAGCAAACCGGCTCCAAGTTGGGGAAACCCAAACAAGACCAACAACCTAAACCTTGTAGACGTTGAGCACCGCGAAGGCGACTGGCGGAAGATGAGGAGGCCGTCTCGAGGGCAAGGAGGAAGAAGTCAGGGAAGACAAAGTACCGAGCCAGAAGCCATCCGCAACAACCCAAAAGCAGCAACGTGAAGAGGGCCCAACGCTGAAGAGCCGAAAAACGAAGAAGACTAAGACGGGGGGACATGCACATAGGGAGAAGACCGTCACGAAAAAGAAATGGCTACCTGCCCTGCTGGCTGTCTACTTCATTTCTTGCCCGCTTGCTCCGTTCGTCCTGTTGGCGCCTTGCAGGATGGCTCCTTCTTCCTCTCACTGTTTCCTTTTGTATTTCGTTTTACCAGGTGTTGGAAGACGGACAACTGTACATGTGTTCAATCGCGAAGGTTACCTTTAGGAGCCAAGATTCCCACGGAGACACATCACGAGGTGCAAGATAGCAAACGAGCGGCGACGCCGTCCCGGGCCACAGGGTGGGAGCACCCGAGCGCCCCTGAATGGAGAGAACACACTTAAACTCCCAAGGGGAGTGGAAGACGCAAATGGAGTGGGTTTCATGTTGAGTGTACGTGTTCGATTTAGCAGGTCCAAATAAATCTCAAGTAGACACATGGCTCAGAGGGGAAGACAACCACCTCAGATTCAGCAGGGGTGAAGCACACGCAGCTTTAAGGGGAACCAAGCCAACTAATAGTGTCAGCAGGTACGTCCATTGGCGTCCCAATCCATATCCTCACCACGCGTGGCCAGCTTCGTTGGTGGAAAAGGCGTCTCCACCCCTTGATTTTGCGGAGTTCGGGGACTCGGCCCAAACAAACACAAAGCCATGGCGTGTGACCCACAACTTGTATTGCTCCCAAATTGAATCTCTTGCAACAGAGAGTGTTAACCAAACGGCAATTCCAGCCGGCCCCTCTCATTGTACCTTGGTTGATGAACGCAAGGGCTGGGAGCAATCCAAAGTGGCGTGCAATCCGCAGCAACCAACAGGTCTGCAAAACCTTCAGCACCCGGAGCGATGGTCCCCAATATAGCTGTGGATTCTGCTCTGCAGCGATGTCCATGCCAAATGAAAAGGGGTTCAGCCTTTTGCACTGCTCATGTGTTTGCTTGTATGTGCCGCAGCAAGCTAGATTTGTCTTCTGCAGGCATCCCTTCAAGGATTCCTGCAACCCTCCCTTCACTCTAGCCCAAACCGTGCAGCAAAAGTTGCGGCTGAGCAGTTTGTTGGGAATGGTCTCCTTCTGTCTTTTCCCTCCAATCCCAAATCTGGCGCAAAGTACACTTGATTTCATTTGAAGTGTCTCATTGTTTTCACCAGCTCCAAAAAAAGCGCACTCTTTGCGAAGCATTCTCTCGCCACGGCAAACCCCGAGCCGCTTTTCGGCCACCGCCTCAAGCTGCTTCAAGCCAAGCTCCAGGGGCGGCATGAGCTCGTCCTCGCTCGTAGCTCGTGAGCTGTCTGAAACGCCAGGAATGGCGAACCACAAATCCCAGAGCCGAAAACACGCCCCTGGAAATTGCTGCTCAAGCAATAAATTTTGCCCATGTCTAACATAGCAAGCAACTATCAAACAACTTCAGTGGCGCGTTCTCGTCGCGAGAAAAAACAAGGGTGCCCATCCTGCGCAGGTAATGCTGGTAGCTTCCAACAGCTAAACAACTACCGGCGAGAACCCGAGTGGCGAGAGTGCAATCTGGCAAATCAAATGAGCGTGTGCCCTCTGGTTGATTTGCACTGAGTACAGACTGCTCAGTCAAAGCCCTACACTCATTCATGAGTTGACCTGGACCAAAGAGACTGGAAGAGGAAACCGAGGAACGAGGCCACCCGCCGCCCGGCGGGGCCCGCCTCGTCCACCAGGACCTCCACGGCCTCGGAAGCGGCGGCCCAGCCGCCTGCGCCGGCGGAACGGAGTTCGGGGCTCCGAAAACGAGTTGGACGTGGCGAAGCGGTGGATCTACCCCTGTAACATATTTCTTAGAGTACTAAACAGAACAGTTGAAATCCACAGAAAGCGAATCCAAACCGTATTTCCAGAGTAAAGGGGTACATATATCAGATTAGTTCTGACATGGTGGTCAGAATTCGGTCCAGCTTGAAAAACAAGCAATGACAACAGCCTAAGGCACAAATGTCAAAGCAAGACGCAACCCGGTACTACAAGAGTTGGCTACCAGCTCGCAGTTCCATTTGGCACGGCACATCAGTCCTTGCACCCACAACACAACAAAGTCCCAGCAAGCTTCCAGGGCACAAACGCTGCCACCCTTTGTTCGTCCCGCGCCTGTGTCCATGACCAGCTCCCCGTTGCGAGCGAACCAAACTCGCCAGGCGGCCCGCACCGTCGCGCCATCCTGGGGCTTGGGCCCCTGGCCGCTGCCGAGACGCCTGGGCGAAAGGTGGATCTCAAGCGCGCGCGATCCAAGCGCGCGATGTCAAGTTGCCGTGCAACCACACCCCAGAGGCTCTCTCGTTCCCAGCGGCTGAAAACCAGCAACGGCTCGCGCCTCAAGATCACACCGTCGGGCACCAGCAGCGAGCCCTGCTGCAACTCCACCAACCGCACGCAGAACTCCTGGCCTTGTGAAGGGAAAGTGCTGAGCACGCAGATTTAGGCATGTTGCATGTATAGGTGCGTAGGCGTGTAGGTGTGTATGCATGCATGCGTATATGTAGGTGTCTGTATATGTATGTACGTAGACAGATATATGTATGTGCATTTGCATGTGCATTTGTATCTGTATCTGTATATGTACATTTATGTGCATGCATGTCTATATATGTATGTGCATATGTATGTCCATTTGCATGTATGTATATATATATATATGTGCATATGTGTATGCATACGTATGTCTACATGTATATGCGCGTGTGCATGATACAAATTGCTATCTATGTATGTATGTCTGTGTGTCTGTCTGTCTGTCTGTCTGTCTGTCTGTATGTATGTATGTATGCATGCATGTATGTATGGATGTATGTATCTATCTATCTATCTATGTATCTATGTATGTATGTATGTATGTATGTATGTATGTATGTATGTATGTATGTATGTATGTATGTATGTATGTATGTATGTATGTATGTATACATGTATGTATACATGTATGTATGGATGTATGTATGTATGTATCTATCCATCTATCTATGTATGTATGTATGTATGTATGTATGTATGTATGTATGTATGTATGTATGTATGTATGTATGTATGTATGTATGTATGTATGTATGTATGTATGTATGTATGTATGTATGTATGTATGTATGTATGTATGTATGTATGTATGTGTATGTATGTATGTATGTATGTATGTATGTATGTATGTATGTATGTATGTATGTATGTATGTATGTATGTATGTATGTATGTATGTATGTATGTATGTATGTATACATGTATGTATACATGTATGTATGGATGCATGTATGTATCTATCTATCTATCTATCTATCTATGTATGTATGTATGTATGTATGTATGTATGCATGTATGTATAAATGTATGTATGTATGTATGTATGTATGTATGTATGTATGTATGTATGTCTACATGTATGTTTACATGTACGTATGGATGTATGTATCTATCTATCTATCTATGTATGTATGTATGTATGTGTGTATGTATCTATCTATCTATCTATCTATCTATCTATCTATCTATCTATCTATCTATCTATCTATGTATGTATGTATGTATGTGTGTACGTGTTTAAACCGTGTTTACATACACAAATATTACGCATATCACCTGGAATTGGGTGCCTCCCAAGTGGCTCTCACTGCTTCCCTTTGCATGGAAAGGGTCGACAACAACCACATTGACTCTGGAGTTGCCAAGGAGAAATTCGGCGCTATATGCGCTGGCGAATGGCTCCTGCAGTTGGGTCAAAACGGGGCACGAATGTCCCACCCGCGAAGAACTTGTCAACACAACTAGCCTGGAATTGCATCGAATTCATTCGTTCTATGGCAGCAGCAGAAAGTCTTTTCAGACATTGCCTGTCCCCTGAACACAGAGTTGGAAGGACTTGCTGTCAAGGGGGGTGTCTATGGGGCACACAAGCGAACGAGGATTTCCGGCAAAGGGACCATGGTGAATGCAAGCAAAGAAAGATCTGCTGTGACAGGGGTGTCAAGCTTCGAGGACGCAAGTCAAGGACAAGGATAAGTTTCCAGTGACAGAAACGGTCAACACTTGGCCACAAGCGGGAGTCTTCTGCAGAGAGGCATATGCGTTGGTGGATGCAAGTCGACATGGGCTCCTTGTTATGGGAATGCTAACAAACAGCACTCACTGAATATGTATAAACTGACAGCAGGCTAGACAAACATTGAGGACAAGGCTTTGAAGCCGTCAAGAGCGTGCGATTCGGATCTTGGCTCCGTGCTTCATCCTTCTCACCCCCTTCAGCAGCTCGAACCCATATCCAAATCTTTCTCCATCCTCTCCCTCCCCATCCTCTCCCCATCCTCTCCCCACCCTCCCACCCTCCCCGCCCTCCCCGCCCTCCCCGCCCTCCCCACCCTCCCCACCCTCCCCACCCTCCCCACCCTCCCCACCCTCCCCACCCCCGCCCTCCCCGCCCTCCCCGCCCTGCCCGCCCATCCCCGCCCTCCCCGCCCATCCCCGCCCATCCCCGCCCTCCCCACCCTCCCCGCCCTCCGCCCTCCCCGCCCTCCCCACCCTCCCCACCCTCCCCACACTCCCCCACCACCCGCCTCGCCGCCCTCCCCACCCTCCTCACCCTCCCCCACCCTCCCCCACCCTCCTCACCCTGCCCACCCTCTGCCGGCCTTCCACCTCCACCTCCGCCTTGGCGCCCCTCTGCCGCAGCAGCAGCGCTGCTTCCGTGAACCACGGCCGAACAGGAGGCCGCTCCTCCTGAGCGAAGAAAAACAGATGCCCCCCCTCCGTGGCCGGGCGCTTTGGAACTTTCAGCCCCTTTCAACCTGAGGGAGGAAAGCTGGACAGTGGTTTGGCTTTCTCCCAAATTGAGTGCTGGCAAGGCAGGCCATGCAGCCGCGCCGGAATTTGCTTAAAAGTTTGCAGGTTAGATTGAAATCTGCCCCATTTGGCAACGGAGATGTGCTTAGGAGTCAATGTGCAGTTGTCTTCAAATGGGGGAACTTCCAAAATAAGTGGTCTCCCTTTGGCCCTTTGCAACCCCCAAAAGGCTCGCACCTTCAAACAAAGACATACCTATGGGTCTCAACTACTTGATAATGGCTTCAACAGTGCGGTTCACGCTCCATGCTAATCAATAACTGCAAACGTCCACGAAACTTGACAGGAGCGCTGGCCCAAGACCCCCTGTCCGCCTTTTCTATGTGAAAACTCCAGCGACTCGTGCAAAGGACGGCGCAAGACTCACGAAAACTGAAAGCTGGCCACCGGCTTCTCGCGGGCCTGCGGAGGACTGAAGGCTGCCGTCCACTCCTGGGCTCGGACCGGAGCGGCGAAGCCAGCAGGATCTGTGTGGGTGCACCGGCATGTATCGCTTGAAAGATTGCCATGTGTCTTTAAAGGTTTCACCCTCGCCCTTAGGCAATCTAGAAATTGCCCGAATATTCAAACGCACGGGTGAGCGTACCCAACACAAATGCTTTCAACTTTTCGAAAATGCACCTTGCGGCGCCGTCATTGGCCCTGATCCGACTGATTCGTCTCCTCATTGGAAGGGTAGCCGCTCTCTTCGCCCAGGAAGAAGTCCACAGTCTCGGTGTCGCTGGCGCACCTGCGGAATAAACGTGAGCGCCTGTCATGGATGGCATACTGTGGATGCATGAAATCCATTTCGCACCACCTAAGAAACCCTGGAAGGATGATTCCCCTGTAAATACCAACAAACAATGGTTGCCCATGGTTTCAATGTGGTGCGAAATGGATTTCGCCCATCCAAAGTATGTTCAAGCTCTGTGTTGCTGCAACCTGTCCGCTGTTTCTTGAGGGTGTGCCATGCTAAAAATGGATGTTTGGGGGAAAAGACGATGGATAAAACATACTGGGGAAACGAGAATAGGGAAACGCACCCTGAGATCTCTGAGCATGGCAGAAAATAAGGAAAAACATGTCAAGTTGCAAGCGTGCAACGATCTTGCAAACATGAAAAGCAGTGTCCAGACAAACCCAAAGCAACCCTTTCACCGGAACTTTCACCCTTTTACCAAAGAAATGGCTCTGCGTCAAAAATTGGTGCCCAAAATCGAACCCTCGTAAATGGAAACAAGGGCCAAAAGCTGCAGTCCCCTGGTG